GAAATCCAGTACAAAATAGGTGTGAAAGTAGTACAAAACTAAAGAAGAGCGAGAGAAATAAAACTATTTGTTTGTTAAATTTATCTCAATAGTGGTGAAGCAACATGGATAGTTATTTTGGGATCTCTCATATGTTGTTGTATCCAGCACAGTTGTTGGCTAACTATGTGTTCCTGACCATCTGTAATCAGGAATTGTTGACGCTGAAGTCGTTGTATTAATTATATTATCATTCATATGAAATAAACCTTTCATTTAGTGATGATGGTGGTGCTTGTGGTATAAGACTAGCAAGTGTTTCTGAATATTTTCGTCAATTTAAGACCAGCCCGAGTTCTCCGCAACGTTTCGTTACTGAGAAACCTGAGAGTTACGAACAGTCCCATTTTGTTCACTGTTGTGGCGACATCTCACAAACCATGCGCGATGAAACCAAACAAAAATTTCCATACTTTCACAAGTTAGCATTTCCTAAAAGTTTGGTCAAGATCGGACTTATAGTTTTAGAGATAGGTTTCTGACGGGGGGGAGCTTAAGCCGTGTTTACAAAATGATGTATACTAACTGGTACCAATAAATTCAAAATAAGATGGCTTTGATATAATTACATTGAAAAGATTATCGATAACGAGTAAAACTAAATGCTAATCGGTGAAAATTCACTTCTACAGTTATACCAGTGCTAAAATTTCCCGTCAAATGATTATTGTTATAGGCGTTATTTTATTACTTTATTGCTTAAATATTTAGATCATCTCAGCATCAGTCTTATTATCATTTAGTTTTACTATGCGTAATCGATAATCTTTTCAATGTAATTATATCAAAGCCAACTTATTTTGAATTTATTGGTACCAGCTTGGTTAGCTTCAATTTAAGACCTTCCAGAGCTCTCTGTGATGTTTTGTTGCCGAGAAATCTGGGAACTACGAAATAGTTAAGGTGAACTCACTTTCGATATGTGGTGGCGCCAGTATCTGATACATGTTTTAGGACTTCCAGCAAAACTCTCATAACTCTTGATCAGAACATCATTCAGAGCTGGGAAATATCTCATTTTGATCAGAAATGTTTGCTCTATTTTCGTATATACTAAAAGTAATTTTCTTAAGGACGAAACAGTGATGATTCAGAAATTTTAGTGGACTGGGTCTGTTGAGATAGTGCTGATATTACTTCAGACACCATGTCTCGGATCTAGTTCATAAGGAATGCAGTAGCTAAAAAATTTTGAGCATCAAAACATCGACTAATAAATATTTTAAAACAATGTTTTTTTCTTAAAATTAAGACGATAAATATCGGATCTGTTTTACTATGAATTTCATTTTTTACGATTTGAAGTTGCCAATAATGAAATATGAATTTGTACAAATTCAAAATATCACCAAAGCTCCAGAAGTTTTCCTGTTTATTTTTCCTTCAACATAAACAGACTTACAGGCACACACGATGTGAATAAAATATGGACCACAAAAAAAGAAAAAACGAACGGAAGAGAGAAAGAGAGAGAGAGAGAGAGAGATAAACAATGTTGTTAGAAATGATGAGTGGATTCTTTCATCATCAAACATTTAAATAACAACATCAAAATAAAATAATGAAAATAAGAGAGGTAACATGAACAGAAGAATGAACTGTTTATGTATTTCAACACAACAACATCAAAAGAAAACAAAAAATTATCGCCAAAAGAACCGAGAATACAGCGAGTTTATTCCACTGTGAGAAAAAAAAAACTTTAAAGATAGATACTTGTTCATTTCATGAAGATAAAAGAAAACAAAAAACAAACTCTGTTGTGTTCAAACAGCGAGAATAAGAAAGTTTTCAGAGAAAAAAACAAGGGAATGTGGTTATTTAACAATAAAAATACACTCATTCTTCTCACTTTCAGCTTGACTTTTATATAAGTGTTTCAATCAGAACACTGTTCTATTTATAGTTGTAAAAATGGAATAGCTTTAAACAGGATCTTCTCTAAACGTGAGATTTAAACGTCGAGTTTTGTAGAAACTTTCTAATAACGAATTTGCTATTTCTTAGAAAATTCTTTATAACTGAAACAAAATGCATCATATTGTATGCGTCTATAGCTAACAACGTTCAACATTTAGCCATTTATATGAAACAATGTTTTGATGAAATATAATAAAAAACAGAAAACAAGTACTGCTCATGCAATTGTTTAAAACAACACAAACCAAAAAAGTTACATTCATTTTTCTAATACACAGAAAAATAATTTATTGCGTAGTGTATAAATAGTGTATGCGACTACATGTTAAGGAAGAAACATCTATATACACATACCAGAGAAGAAAAAAAAAATAAAGAAACTTAAAATTATACAAATAACTTGTCACAACAGCTCGTTATTTTTTGGACGAAAACAACAATAATAACAACAATGAAGAAAAATAAAATAAATAAAAAATCTTGAAAGACATTGACGATAATAATAATCCTGTCAAAACAAAAGTTTCTTCACTCCTATTAGAAAAGCGTATGCTAATATTATACGAAAGGTCTTTTCAACAGATTGTATGCTTCTATTTTGTATCATCAAAACTGACTGAGGTCTTTTTGGGTAGTTTATCTAATAGGAACAAAAAGAGTACTATTGTCGTCTAAAGATTATCGATTTGCACACAGGTTCGAGTTTAAATAAATGAGAATGAACGCTCGATAAACATAGAAGATTAAGTAAACGAGAGAAAAAAAAATCAGATTCGATGTAAATGACTATATAGACATAAGGAAAAGAGAGAATTCGATGTATATGACTATGTAGACAGATAGGAGAAAAAAAGAAAACAATTGTACTGTACGTTAAAGAAAGATAGATAGACTGCTTTATTTTCGTTTTGGCTTATATTCTTATAATTCACTTATTGCTTTATTTGATTATCAGCGTTTACTGTAGCTTCTAACTGATTTTCACTGTTTTCCAAATCTTGATACTCATCATCAGCAGTTGATGATGCGTCTCCTTCTTCCTCATCTGTTACATTAACATCTTGTTCAATTCTAAAAACAGAAGAACAAAATTCATTTTTGATGCGATATTTGACAAATTTCTAATATATTTCTCTTAATTTCAAATCTATAAAGCTAATTACGTGTCTTTGACTCTCACAGCAAAATATTTTCAACGATCTTGTTACACTGCGCAAAATTAGAATACATAAACAAGCAAACAAATAACGGATTGAAAAAAAGAACAACTCTGATTAATACTGTTTATCTCCCATTTATAGATGTTTTTATGTGTGTCACATATGTACGTATGGTTTTGAAATATGCCTACGTTAAAACACTTACTCGTCATGTTGTTGTTGATTGTTATCAGTCATACTATTCAATTCATTATGCGTATCATATGATGGTTGTTCTTCTTTCATGACTAATTGCTGTTTATAATTTTCTTCCAGTTCTTTATTAATGCTATGTTTTAGTTTTGTTGGTTTGCATTGTTTTGATTTTTCACATGCTGTACCATGTTTTACTGCCATATTTGAATCTAATGAATTTGTTTTCATTTGAACATACGACGAGGATTTTTGATGTTGTTCTTGTTGTTTACTTGTCGTGCTCAAACCATCAAACATGCCAGTTAAAGACGCATCATAGACCGTATTCGGTTTTGCATGAAGTTTTCGATGTGTTCCCCACTGAGATTGCTTTTCTGATACTGTTATCGGTACAACAGGACCTAGAAATGAAGTATTCTAGCACAATGAAGTAGCAAAAAAAGAACAATAATTGTAAATAAATTCCCAATGAAGAAAATTAAAATTTAATCTCAATACACTATATTTAAATAACAAAGAACCGCCAAATAGTGAGTTTAAACATAAGAAAACCAACTATCGCTTCAAGACACTAAACCTTCTACCGTATCTTAGAAAACATATGCATGTGTGAGTTAAACACAATGTATGGTAGACTAAAGAGGAACATTCTCTATAATACAACACCACTCCCAACTCTCCAGAAGTGTTTATTTAGGATATGCGAATTTTTGAAAGTTTGTCATTTTAGGCTGAAAAAATGGATGTTTTTTTCAAATTAAAGCTAACAGTTATAGGAACACTGTAAAACAGCTTGAGTTTATTCAGACTTTCAATTTTTTACAACCTTGAGACTTGTAGGGAAGTTTCAGGAGTTAATAAGCTTCCAGAAAGTCAATAGAACTGGAGAAAATCCGACTGTTTTACGTTGTTCTTATATTTGTTTAGGATAATTTATAATCAGTCTGAACTCTGCAGCATTTATGAAAGAAAATCTATACAACACTAAATGAGCTATTTTGACCCATTTTTGAACAATATTATCTGAACGATAAGAAATAAAGCCTCGAAAATATTGTGCTAACCATGTCTCGGCAAGATCTGAAAGTAAGTGACGTCATCTCTATCTGATGGCAAAAGATGGTTAAAAATAAAATTCGATAAAATGTATAATTTACAATATGAAAAAAAGCTATATATATTGTATAAACTCCAGTAAAACTACCATCAAGAAGTTTAAACATTTACAGCAATCTACATCGTAAATGAAAGTAATTGAGATCGCAAAAATGATTTCCGAAATAGTCCAATACACGAACTAACCGAAAATATGATTCGATAATTTTAGTTTAAATTTTTTTCGTTTATATTCTGAAAGAATACGGCTCATATCAACGTCTCATGTTCAGTTTTGTTTCAACAGGGTTGATCCTCAAAAATACTAACAAATCTACCGTAGATTCATTAAATTGCTCTCGTTTGAAGAGGCATTTAGTCATTCAGAATCTTTTTGTTTACTTACCGTTTGTTTGTTCATCATTTGATTCTTGTGTATTGTTTGTCACAGATTTTTTCATTGTTGTTGGTGGTGAATTTGACAATGTTGGAAATGCATTTTCATCGTCTAATAAAAACGGGACGATTTCTGACGATGCAGTTGGAAGTGATTCAGTGATCAATTGTTCTTCGTCTTGTGGAGATTTTGTTTTCGACTTTCTTCGTCGTCGACGACTTTGTTTCTGTTGTATAAAATCTGAAGAAAAAACATGTGATTAAGATCATTTGTTTGTAAAAATATTTCTGAATATATTACCTGCATTGTCTTGATTATTTGAGTTTAACGATATGGAACGCTGTTGAATCAAAGATGCTTCATTCGTTAGCGTTTTATTTCGTTCATTTGAATTTGATTTTTTATCGTTTGAGTCCTTTCCTGTTATTGCTGGTGGGGTTTTGTTGCGACTCTTTCGAGCGGTTTGCGAATGTTGACTAACTGATCGTTGTTTTGCAGCTGAAGATGATTTGGAAGTCGGAGAGGAAGATCTTGGACGAGAGGTGGATACAACAGTGTTCCATGACGGTGGCGAGCCATTCTCATTTGGTTGGTCACTAAAATCCATAACATAACACATTTATACTTATAATATTAAACTCAAATGGATTAAGTACCTAATGTGGTTCGTGTTATTCACATGTATATGGGATACATGCTGTTTATTTTTAACGGCATGATTGTTCGTATTTGGAGGTAAGCTTGGAAAATCTTCCAATCGAAATTCAAACGGTCTCACATCATTATTATCAATCATAAATTGAGCCTGAGAATTATTCAGATTATTAATTTGATCACTGTCCAGATTGAGATCAATTTCTCCTGCAACGTTGTAATCAGCATAGTCATAGTCATTTTGATCATTATACGAACGAGAATTTGGAATTCCTCTTGTAAATCCTCGGCCACGTATTGATCGATGATTACTATTATTATTGGTTTGATAGTACGACGGAAAACCGCGTGGATGAGAAGTAGAAGTTGGAATGCCTATGAAATAATTAATAAAAAAAATTATTTTATTAACAAATGTCTACTTCTTCTATTATCCCTCGTTATACACATACGTTTGGATTGAGTTGAACCTGTTGAACCATTTTTATTCCGTAAAGGATATGGTGATTGTGAATAGGGACCATTATAAGAGGGTGAATTTCGCTCATTGTAACGATGTGATTGATCGTAAAATCCTCGACCTCGATTAGCATAGTTTTGACTATTACCGTGACGATTATAGGACGAAGATGACATTGATCTATTATCGTATTGATAATCAGAATCAACTGCCGAATTATAATAATTATTGTTCGTTCGATAGGTCCCACCTCTACCACGTGAATAAAATGAGCCAATAGTACCACCACGAGAAGGCCGACCGATGCCACGTCTTGATTGTAATGAAGAATGATGTTGATTTAGTTGGTCATTACGTTGTTTATATCGGCTCTGAGATGGCGCTTGTTGATGCAATGTATCTGTTTCAAACAATGAATAATCAGAAGTTAAATTACTGAATATATAAGACTCAAATATTCTAAGATGTAAACTGCTATAACTTACATATTTGTAATGGTGATGGAGTTTGTTGTGGTTGAAGAGAAAAACTGACTAACTGCGGCTGTTGCTGATCAATAAAATCGTACGCATCAGGATAATAAGGCAGCTCATTCGGTGGTAGATCTAAGCGAGAAATATCATATTTAAAAGCTATTATACAGATGAGAATAGGCACCAGCATTTTTAATGCTCATAGATATGCATCGGAAACATTCTTAATCCACTTTCTTACTTGTACTATAAAGAATTTGTGCTGACGGAGAAATAGCTTGTGAATAATTTTGGTATGGAATGTTTGTCGGTAGAAAAATAATTTGTGACGGTTGTTGAGCTACGGGTGATGTTGATGAGGTAGACGATGATGTAGGACCTTGCGATGAATCTAAATTGATATGTTGTGTCTGATGCTGCTGGATGTGTAATTCAATTTCTGGTAAATGAGATAGTTGAGTTTTACTCATATTTAGACATGCTGATTGAGTCGGATATAATAAAGATGTTCCAACTAGCCCACCAACATAAATAGTCGCTGTTGGACCAAGGTTAGGAGAGTCAACAGAATCATAGTACGCTACTGGAGGAGGTTGAGATGGAATAAATTCTTTCGCTGTCGCAGATAAACCCGATGGTGGCGTTGACATGGCAGATGTTGCGTGAATCAATGTGGATCAACTTGTGGATTGACGGGTGTGCGATTAAGTGCTGCGTGACTTAAAGTTCCGTGATTTGATTTCTTCCATGGCTTAGAGCATATATCTAAAGCAGTTGAAATTTAATTTCGATATTACAGAACAAACTAATAGTAATAAGTTTTTTCTAATTATTTAGGATTACTTGTACTGTCACAACATTTTTTGATTTTACGAAGAAACCAAATATCAGAACCATATATTTATCTGAAGCAAAAAAACAAAAACTAATTTATTAATAAAAACAAAACGTACCTACGCATGCATCTGAAAAGATATGAAACATTGCAGAAGTTTACTCAAACACTTTTGTTAAAGCGGTTAGCCGACGTGAATTCGAACGGCATTGTAAAAGAAACTCTTGAAAGTCAGCGGTAGCGTATGGACTAGTGAAAAAAGTCTGCTATTTTGTGCATTTTTGTCGTGCTTGAAAAATCGAATTAATTGTATAGATATAGGGTCAGATACAGATTATATCTTCATTTCTCGGATTTTCACTACGGTTACCCAGATAATACTATTAGTACTCTACCCTGTAGAGGGCGTTTTCTTAAAAATATTCCAGTAACGAATGGCAGCGAGAACCAGAAAAGAAAGACAGATTCGCATCAGTGATGAATTTCTCTAAAACTTTCATACAATCAGCTGAATTTTTCAAAGGGAAGTATACGAAATAACACAATACATGCCAACATTCTACATAACAGAATGATGTGATTGATCGATTGAACCCTGCAATGAACATTGGTTAAAGTGCCAATGAATAAGTTTCTGTCGCCATAAATCAAAGGAAGAAACAAAGTGCTTCATGCAGCGCCAGTGTTTATATAACGAGATTTTGTCGCTACTTGTAGATGTACGCAGTGTGTTTTAGCGCAAAGTATATAGATTCCAAATAAAAGCGCAAAACAGTCGGCAGTGCGAAGTTTCATTCTAATTTTTAAGCTTTTTTCCAAAAAGAAATATAAATATACACATACATAGTCACAGAATACAATCCAACGGAAAAATTACTAGTAGCCCTGTGTTCGAAGAAACACAGTTTTGATTATCGGACTGTTGAGAAGGGTAGGGATTTCTTTGACATAAAAAAGAAACGAAAACATTAAATCTCGTTTATGTAAATCTCCTCCCCTACCCAGAACAAACGGCCATGACCTTCTATTATCGTTTCGCAAATCGCACTTTTTTGAGGTGAAAAACTGTCCTACCCATTATAGGGTGTTTTTCAAAAATTTTCGCTCCAGACTGGCCTTGTATTAAGGGTGGTCTTCTAATATGGGGTGGCCTTCTATTTTGGGGGAGGGGGTACAAATATCTGATTCTTGCTTACTAGTATCCACATTCTCAACTGTTTGCCTGCAAACACAATCTTACCCTCAAAAAGTTTAGATATTTTTTTTGCTTAAATTGTTAAGATTAGATTGATGTGAAAACCCTCTTTGGAAATTCGATAAAGGAATAAAATATTAATCTAAATTTCAATGTGTATCGTATCAGGAAGTGGTGCGATTCACTTTCTATATCAACATGTAAAATAGTGTCTACGTTTGATTTTCAAAGTTTTATTGCAGATGGGTTATAAGAGTACATTTCTTCATTTTTGAAGCACTGCTCGGTGCAACATTTGGTTTAGTCCCAAAGTCGTATTACATGGCACTACTAACAACTCAAGTGAACAGTATGTTTACATGGTCCTAAGAAAAATTCTCAATGCTTTATTTCTAAACGTCTTAATTAAATTTTTAATATATATATTTTCAGCACGCTTTTCTTACCTCTCTGTATCCTGGGCACACTGCAGTGGTGTGTGTGTAAAAACTTATTTGGATAAATTTTCAAAAAAAGAATGAAAAATTTCAAATAATAGAAGGAGCTCTTGCTCCGAACGCTTTTTTAAAACAACATCCAATGTTTGATACACGCAAGTTCCCGCCAGTTTTTCATTGTGTATACTACTAGATCTATCACAACACACAAACATAACTTTGTCTCTTTGTCTTTGATAAGACCGGAAATTTAACAAAATTCCTGCAAAAATCATGGAGATCAAAAGAGCATCTCTCCAGACACATTGAGACAAATATATGTAGTGATAAACTTAGCGATCTATACGATGAAAAAACTAGCGGAAACTTGTGTGTCAAATGTTGTTAAGGAAAACGTTGATAATGCAAAAAAGGCTTTAGAAAATCTCTGTAAAGAAACTTGTCAATATTATTCATTTTGAAAATGAAGGTTTTTAACATGTTCCTACTACACATAACATCAAGATACTGACACCACTAATATGACCTGTAATAGTAACTCAGACAAGCGAATGATTACCATCCATTCTACGACACTATGGATTAACGTTGAGGAATGAATTCGACTTTTGTATCTGCTTTCATTCATTCGTCTACTATTCACCTTATCGATTTTAAAGGTCCACTAAAACCGTTTCAGAATCCTTATAAAATTTTCTAATTTAACTGAATAGAGTTACCGATGATTAATGAAAAAGGAATTTTGTGTGCCGACTTTGTGCTATAGAGGGTGTTACTAGTGACCTGTAATAAAAACATTCACAGTGAAGTAAAGCAGGAAACTAGAAAAGAAGAGAAAAGATTTAGAAACTCTCGATTTATTGCAGAGAGAAGAACATGAATGTTGGAAAAACGTGATACATCGATGGCTGCAAAAGATTTGATTAGATAAAATAATGCTACGGATGACTCATAGTGGTTGCTCACAACTCGCTGTTATCGCAAGAATTCTAAACAAAATAAATGCGATTCAGCTGTCGTTACAGCTAACCTAGTACTTCAAATCACTAGAATTCGTTTTTTTGCATGTTTTTTACGAAATTACCAGTTTGTCTAAGTTGATCGTATGATTCTATGATTGTATGATCTAAGTCCTCTAATTTATTTGACGATTATGAAAGATGTATTGAATTATATGATCTGTCTTATCCTAAATCTATTAATATAAATAAATATAAATATGCTAATGTATTAGAACGAGATTAGCAAGATGTTAGAACAGCAGGAAGTCAGTAATTTAATAATCGCGCTTCAATATACCAGCTAGCTTGATCTGAGAACAATCTTTTTCGAGGCTACACATAGTGCCACATAATTGCTTGTTATAAAATACGTTATAAATTCGAATGATGTTGAATTGATAAACACTGTTGTAAACAGAAATGTGTTAATGTAAATGACTGTTTGTAGGATGATAACACAAATTAATCGTCGGTCATATAACATTGTTTCTTTCCTCAGTCTTAATGATAAGGGCGTTATTTTACGCTATGAAGCGAAGCACTGTATTCAACAGATTTAAACTTATTACTACTGATTTTGATCTGTAAAGAATATAGATCTTTTCTTTTTAGTCCAAAAACGAATCTCTTTATATAGGAATTTCAAATTTTTGTGTAATATGTAAAAGTTTGTTAACTTGTTCTTATCCGTTTATATTCTACTAGAAACTTGATTATTATAGAGAGAATTTGCTTTTTTCTTAATCTAATTTTTATCGCAAATTGATATGTAACGGATATATAGTTTTTAGTCTGGCAAATTTATATTTTTTATTTTTAATATAATCAATATGCACTACGCCTAACTGTTGTTAATCCTAATATTTAAATGGCGCACAATTCTGTTATCATTTTCTCCTGTTTTGAATCAAGCATTTGTTTGTTTTTCGAAAGAATCAAACCCGTTTTGAACTCTTTGTACTTGAAAATATTAACACACCCTAACTAACTATTATTAATTTTTTCAGAACATATCCGGTTAACAAATGGCACTAGCAAGCGTTTTGGGTTATAAATCGAATGATGATTTTTCTCGTTCTATGAAATGTTCAAAAACTGACGATAGTATTGATCGATTCGATGAAAAATTAAATATTGAAAATATATCAAAATTTATAACGTTACCCCCATTTTCAGATGTAAGTACGAAAAGTGTATTTTGGAGCTCATGTTTTGATATTTTGTCTTTCTAGCCGGCGAAATATTTGAAAATGGTTAATGATAATGTTGATCGTGTACGAATACAATTTTTAAAAGGAACAACAACACTTGCATTTAAATTCAGAAATGGTGTAATTGTCGCTGTTGATAGTCGAGCAACAGCTGGAGGATTTATTGGTAAGATATGCGATAGATCGATAGAGAAAATCAAATACTATTGATTACGTTTGCTTTTGTAGCATCTGGTGAAGTTAAAAAAGTAATTGAAATAAATCCCTATTTATTGGGTACTATGGCTGGTGGTGCAGCCGATTGTGCATTTTGGGAAAGAGTTTTAGCCAGACATTGTCGGTATGTATGTATAATAATTTTTCTTTGTGAAATAGAAATATTTTTTCATTTTCTTTGTAGGATTTATGAATTACGTAATAAAGAGAAGATATCTGTTGCAGCTGCATCAAAAATATTAGCAAATATGATATTTGAATATAGAGGAATGGGATTATCAATGGGAACAATGATCGTGGGATGGGACAAGCGGGTATATTGTCTTCAACTATCTTTTAAGAGGACAATACGGTTTTGTTAAATGTCATAGAGAGGCACACAGACTTTCAGGGAAAGCAGAAATGAAGTTAATTACAAAAGTATATGTACATTGTCGACGAGAATGAGAAGACTAGAATAGAAGAACCGAACATTCAAAAGCAAACATATGTAGTTTTGGGCGGTCAAGTACATATGTAGTACTTGAGACGGTATCAAGCGTATGAAACGGCTAGCAACATATATAAATCCTTTCCAGCCGGCCATTTTTTAAACACAGCAAAAAATGTTGCCATATGGCAACAGTCGACTGGAAAGGGTTAAAGAGATACATTAAAGAAGCTTTGCATGTTCGGTTCTATTAAATTTTTGCGGTCTTATTTGAGTTTTTATAGGATATCTTAAGTTTCGTTTTTGTTATATGAAGGGTCCTGGATTGTATATGGTATCTGATGATGGAGAACGTATTAGTGATAATTTATTTTCCGTTGGCAGTGGATCAATTTATGCCTATAGTGTATTGGATGCTGGTTATAAGTACGTAATGTTCTTTTTCTTATTTTGTCAAATGATCCATTCAATCACATCCCAGATTTGTCTACACTAATTGTTTATGATTAATTGTCTAGAAAAACAGGCACACTTTTTTATTCATTTTTTTCAATGTTTCTCAAAATTCCCAATTCTGTTCTCTTGTTTGTGTTTTAGATATGAAATGAGTACAGCTGATGCAATTGATTTAGGCCGTCGTGCTATTGTTCATGCAGCTCATAGGGATGCAGCATCAGGAAATATTGTCAGAAGTAGGCTGTTTATGAGTTATAAAGTGTACATTTTCTTACTTATCATTTTTGTTTAGTCTATCATATGAAAGAAACGGGTTGGGAAAAAATCGAAGAAGAAGACACAAATAATTATATGTATCGTTATAGACAAGATGAAACAATGAACTTTTAGAAGAAATAAAAACTTGTTGCATAAACATGTATCCTAGACACGCTGTTTTTCTGTTCTTGTTGATTTTTTTTATATTTCATTTTGAAAAAGAGAAAAAATACACATTGCAAAACTGCAAATGTAACTACACTTATAAAATAATTTGAACTATTGAAAGTAAAAATAGTATCTGAATTGATAACGCTTATTCCTCTCTGTAAAAGTCGTTCAAATGATATTGTATGAGTATTCATTTGAAATGTATTTTAGATTATCAGTTATTTTATATTAAAATGATTCTTGATGTTCTTTCTTGTTAAGAATGAACGATACGACGGATGTTCCACGTACATTGCGTTATTGGTTTGCATTATTTGTTTCTAGTCTAGTGTCAATAGTAATTGCATTGATTATTATCGTATTATGTAAGTACTGCACAAAAAACTGAATAAAAAACAACTTTTAATGACGTAGATGGACTAGTGAATCCAGTATAAAATGCATGAGAGATTTAGTCATGATAATGTATAATCATATTGATGAACATGAAATAGAGTTATTATCTCATCTTAATTGCATGCCAGTTTTTTTATGAATAATTGTTATTCTGTTTTAGCTTGGTATATATTGTGGAAATTGATATTGTGTAAATTTGGTGTATTACGAGCATTATTACAAATTGGTAGGGACGATCGAACACCGGCATCTGTTACTTCCACAACAACGAAGACTGTTAAATCTAAGCCAAAACGAGTTCGTCGAGAATGAGTAAAAGATATCGTTTTCCCTATATACGTACATTTTCGCTATTTGGTTTATCATCATTTGTTACTTATTTATACGTTCGTGCATCGGAAATTCAAAAATATTCCTTGTGTACACCAAATGAAGCTTGGTACCGTAGTTTACCGATGAGAGAAAGTTCCCGAGTATGGTCAAAAGTATTATCTATTAATATTTATCCAAAACAATTGAGACCCATTTTGTATACGTACTTTTGTAAAATATTCGATGCTGATATTGAAGGTAAGCAACTAACTGGTCATGCAAATTTTTCAAGATTTATATTGGATTTTAAAATCTTTGTTTAGAGTGTGAATACTCTCAAGAATTGACTCGTTATAAAAATTTTGGACAATTTTTTCGTCGTAATTTACGTGATGGTATTCGACCGATTGATAATCAATCAACCGTTGTGTCACCATGTGATGGTGAAGTATTAGAAACGGGTTTGGTTACTAGCGATCAACTAAATATTGTTATCAAAGGTGTTCCATATACAATTAAAGATTTATTTCAACTTGATAAAAATGAATTCAATCGACTACTAGCAAAACAAATAAAATCATCGCTATTCTATTGTTGTATCTATTTAAATCCTGGAAATTATCATCACTTTCATAGTCCTGCATCATGGACGATCAGCGAACGCCGACATATTACAGGTAAGAAATAGAATGTTTATCTCTATCAAACAGATATTTTATTGAACTTTTTTTCTAGGTGAATTAATGAGTGTCCGACCTGAATTTATACTGTGGATACCAAATTTGTTATTATTAAATGAGCGAGTGGTTTATATCGGAAGATATTTAAAAGGTTTGATGACAATGACGATGATTGGAGCGACGAATGTTGGTAAGAATAGAAAGAGATAGATTCTTTTTATGATATCAAAAGCAAAAGAATGTAAGTAATAACGTTGTTATCTTATTTTTAGGATCAATCGACGTCTATTTTGATAAAACGTTGAAAACCAATCAGAAAGTGGATGATTATACATTTCGTATATGGAAAGAATATTTTTCATCAAATGAAAAATTTGAAAAAGGACAAAGCTTTGGTGAATTTAAAATGGGTTCATGTATTGTTCTGTTATTTGAAGCGCCATCGAATTTTCAGTTTCGTTGTCATGAAGGTGATAAAATACTTGTTGGTCAAGGTTTATAAAAGATACCCGGTACCTGAAGCAATTTTTTTCTTCTAGTTTTTATTGATTAAGGGTGATGTAAATTTTTCTTGATTTAAGATAGTTTTTTTTGTTTTGATACACTTGTTTGTATTCCACTTTTCTATCTATTTGTTATTGATTTTTTTTTGTTACAAGAACGACATGATTGAACAAAAAGTTGAATCATTTTACATTAAAGAGCACATACTGACTCAGCATCACATAGAGGCGAAAGATGTGTTTATAGAGCCCTGGAAAGTTGGTGCATTCTTGAAGTAATCTAGTTTAGTTCTCTTCACATATTGCTTGCACCTAATGAGGGCCCCTGAAGCATTCACTTGCATTTTCCCTAAGATGCATTTGGTTATAGATTATTTTTTATGTTGATCACAATATACTGTCCATTTCGGCTGATGCGGCTTTTTCAGGTATATCTGTCACAACGAACCTCTACAGACACAGTCTAAATCCATGATGAACAATTTCTGATTCGTCTAGCTTTTGTGGAGCTCGCCGGGTTATCCATATAAAAAAGCTGTTACCACTACTAAGCAAGTTTCCGATGAGCCACACAAAATTTACCATCTGATTCCTTGTAGAAGTATAACTTTACAGCTTTTTCATAGTAAAGTTTGTGTGGCTCATCGGAAACTTGCTTAGTAGTGCTAACAGCTTTTTTATATGGATAACTCGACGATCTCCACAAAATCTGGACGAATCAGAAATTGTTCATCATGGATTTAGACTGTGTCTGTAGAGGTTCGTTGTGAGAGATATACCTGAAAAAGCCGTATCAGCCGAAATGGACAGTATATTGTGATCAACATAAAAAATAATATATAACCAAGTGCATCTTAGGGAAAAACCAAGCGAACTCTCGAGGAAGTTTTCTCGTGAGAAAGAGAATGAGAGCAGTAGAGTGAATGAAAGTTTTCTTAAATAGCAGTCAGATAAAATCAAATCAATTACTTTGTAATTGTGTTTCCATGTATATCTTCCTGTACGTTTCTTTTCTCAGATGTCTGATGATAAACTGAAAAATTTACGGACAATTGAACCAATAGATCCTGGTTCCAAACAAACTCGATGGGACGCTATTAAAAATGATGTCAATATGTTTAAAGAAGTATGGAAGGCCAAACCCATGAGTGAAACATTATGTATGAAAGAAGCATTTATTCTAGGTAAAATTAATTATAAATCTTAATAATTGGATTGATCTAGGCTGATTCTCAATTTAGGAATACCTGGTAGTTTCATATGCGGTTTAGCCACGTTTTTACTCACAACAAATCGTCGACGTGTGATGCAAGTATCGATTATCTCGTTACCGCTAATAACATTTACACGTTTTCAACAATGTCGATTACAAAAAAGTCATGAACGAAATGCGGCTGTTTTACTGCAAAAATTACTTAGAGCAAAAACATTGACAGATGGTACATCAAGACAGAAAGAATATGAGGAACTTTTACAACATTCACGAACAGATCTGTTGAAGATGGAAAAAGAAATTGATCAACTCATAGCAAAGCAAGAAAAAGGTTTAGATTAGGACGTTTTTTGTCATATAGTTTATAGGTTTTTTTGTAAAATTTAATATCTATTTTGTTTTTTTTAAACAAACGAGAGATATTCTCTTAACGCTAATGATATGTTATACAAGTGTAATCTGTATCTACTCGGTCACTACTTGTTGACGAAAGTCTTCATGTATTTAGAATTAAGAAGGATAGATTTGTTTAGAATATCTCACGTCGAAAACTAAACTCTTTTCGATGGATTGTATTGAGCAACCGCTTAAAACTTTTGTTATTGATTCATATTGGTTGGTGAAATGTTATCATGATGATGACTTATCTCTCTTCATATACTGTTTCTTACACATGGATGTCCGTGAGTCAGAGTATCGAGCTGTCATGCATTAACAATTTTTGAAAAAAAACAGCAAGCTTTGGTAATTGCCAAATGTGTTTTCGGAATTAGTGGTGAGGTCTATTTCAGTTTATCCATCATTGTTGAGATTGTGAGATTTGAAAATCTTTTTTTCTGTAAAAAGGTGAGAAACGTAAAGATGCGAAAAAGGTGCGAACCCTTCCACACTATCTCGTTGTTTGCGGCCCTGTATGTATTGCGTTTAATGTTACTTGTAGTATGTGCCAGTTATGTACATACATCAGTTGTTTTATTAAAATTTCAAGATCAAGCCAAATCCGTGGAATACCAGAAGGTGAAATCAGTACATGTAACATATTAAACAACAAGCATTAAGAAGATTGATGAGCACTTTGTCGCTATTTTTAGCTGTTAAGAGAATGGATACATTAAACTGCTCTGATCGCCAGTGGGTTCTCCTACCCGTTGCTAGGTTACTTTCCGCATGATTTCTTTCTTTAATTTTATTATTTTACGGGACGCAAGCTTCCGTAAAAGCTATAGGCCAGAGGATACAACGTATCGAGCTGGTGACACTTGTAGTCATTACATCTCACCGACTTGTCTATAATATCCGTTTTTGAGCGAAATCTAATGCACGGTTGTCGAATTATCAGGAAATCATCAGCAGTTTTAACAGATTTTCCTTGATTTCTTTGATCATCTGTACACAACTGATAAAATGTTCCCTAACTCGTGTTCTTTCGGGCTCATAGTTGGCACTGTTGAGACTGGTGGTGGAGTTGAAAGTCTCATTGCATTGGTGGTGAATTTTCAGTTTTGGTTCTAGACGAAAAATGTTCGGCGCTGTTTCACCAAAACAGACCGAGTGTCTAAGGAAACCCTTAACTGTTTGACAAACGAAAATCCAAAATCAAATTTCTGAACGGTGAGTTTGATTTTCACTTCGGTACTTGCTTTTCTGTTTCATTTCAATTCAATTCGTTAGTTTTTACTGATAAGTGTATATATCGAATAGAAATAGTAGAAGTTCTAACCAGTCTCACTCTGTCGTCTTTCAAACGTCAGGTAGTGTAGTTGGTGTTCTAGTCTGTTCTATTTTTATTTTTACTGTGTTTGCTTATAAATACCAGTATGTGTAGAATCAGATTTCCTTTTTTCATGTTTTCATATGCCTGTTATCTCCACGAGAGAGACAGAGCTTTTATAGCTGTTGAACTCTACACACTCTTCAAATTGTTCCAATTGTTGTCGGCTTTTTTTCTCGTTAAAACTATTCAGAAGTTTTAAAGCGGGAGTGTGACAGTAAAATAATATACAGTTGTCATTGTCACCGATAATGTAATGGTAGTATAGGGTCAAAAATCTTGATTTTGTCCTAGTAAGCATGTGTTTTAATGACTGCCGTACGGTAAAGGGATTTATGTTCATATTGTATAAACAAAGAATCACTGCAATTCCTCTTTTCTTACTAAAAGAGAATAGAAAAGTTAGAACACTGTGAATCGGAAGATTTACGGATAGTATTATCTTGTAGTGTCGAAATTTAGGTAACAGCATATCTGAGAATAAGTCTTTTTTTTGTACTAATATAACTTCAGCTATCAAACCAGGTTTTTCTGGTCTAGTATAAAAGAATTCACTATTCGCTCAAGAAAACATCAGGATGTATAACATTTATACTATATTATATTATATTCATAGGAAATTTGCAGAAAAGAATTTAGAGAACCCAAAGAAGAGAGTTTTCCAAAAGGATTTTCTCTGGACAAAAACATGTTTTTTCAATTTTCTTCGACCTTATAATTACGCCTGTCGGACTAAACTAATCACACTCTGAAGTTTTAAAGCTGCTCTGATGTTTTTCTCAGCGAATGATGAATTTTTTGATTTTAGGCCAGAAAATCCTAATTTTCGAAAAAACTGGTTTGCGCTAGGTTTTGAAATCTTTTTCCAAAAGCAAATATTGTCACGAGACTCAGCATGATTGATTATTTATAATTTTCGAGGTTACCAATAGTCATCGGACACTAGTCCTGGCACTCCAAGAAAACTGAATACCACACCCAAACCACTAAAACTCAAAAAAGGTCTCGCTTGACTTTGAAGAGGACACTCTGAGCTATCAATCCATGAAAAAAACTCAATATAATTGTGTTGGAAATTTTTGAGACACAGCCGGATTTTCCAGAGATCTCCTACAAAGTCGATTTTAGAAAGCCCTTTCTATGAACCATTTCGCTTTTGAAAATATGCCTTCAAGGATCTTCTTTCAAAATGGAGAAAACCGCGAATCTCTATCTCTAATCGTTCTAAAGTTTTTTTTTATATCAACTTTTTTATTCAAAGAACATCCACGGGCACTATATTTGGAAACGGATAATAGTCGACATTAATTAATCGGTGAGCGATGAATACTTACCACGCGTGTCCTGTGAGGAAAAAAATTTGATGAGTCAAGCCGGACGAGCGAAAATATAATTAGGCCCATACGTAGCTCTGTCAGCTATCTATTTTGAAAATTTTATTACTTTTTTTAACAGAAAACAGTGCCTTGTTTTGTACAATTTTTTTCATAATATATTTTATTATTTTTTATTATTTAAATAGACCCTTTTTCTAATAAAAACTTCAACTGTACACTGTTTTAATTTAGACATCACTCCTCTGTGACGACAGATGTGAGAAAAGTTACATATTCTGCATGGTACGTTCTCTTGATAACCTGAATTTTCTTTACGTGTATCGAGCAAAAAAAAGAGACAATGTAAGACTGTGATCTTGATAAGTTACGCATTAATCTCGAATCGATGAGTGAACGATATTATTACTATCTCTTCTTTTGTTAAAATTAAAAAAGCAATAATAATAATTATGTGTTTCGGTTTTTTTAAGGTATATATAATATGCAAAATATTTCTTAGAAAGGGCTCATGAATTGTATTTCGCATAAAGCATCAAGTGTCTCTTACCAAATATTCGATGCATTTTTGGAACGATTTGTAACAGTTCAAATTTTCGTTAATATTAACGTTATTTTATTTACTTAGTATAAGCCAGACAATATCTACAAAAACAGCTCTATCGTTGTGTTGTTAATATACCTTATATTCTTAAAATAGAAACTAACTATTTTTGTCAAAATACAGTGGCTCACTTGTTCATTCAGCTTAGTTTTCGATCATAATAGTTAGAACAAATCTGAGAAATGATTTGAATAGCTGAAAGAGGTTCGAATCTAGTGTGGCGTCTCTGAACTGTCCACGACATGTTTTCATCAAACGGCATTCAGTTGACGAAAAGCACCGAAAGCTTTCATGATTTTTTGTTAATTTTGCTTGTTTTGACGGTTTGAGGCTTTTCGTCAACTGGAAAAGCTGAACTATTACAAACTCAAAAATGTTTGCACTATAAGATGAAGTTGTTTGCAAACAGTTTCTCAGTCACATTAGGAAGTTTGGATTTTTCAGAGACTTTGATTGTAAGCAATTCTGATAGAATCTTTATGCGCCCCACATCATATTGGAACCCCTTTCAGCTATTCAAATCATTTCTCAGATTTGTTCTACCTATTGTGATCGACAAAAAAATCGAAAACTAAGATGAATAAGCAATTTTGTGAGTCACTGGATTCATATTCATCCAGTAACGAAAGGGAATATTTATAATAATTTTTAACAACATTCTTTTGAGTATTCACTGTATGTCTCGTTCGTCTATGGTATGACACTACTAAGACTAAACATGTGGAGAAAGAAAATAATTTGTGACTTTACTTATCTGCTTCTTTTTTGACATCTCTATACTGTTTTAACGACAAATTAAATTCTAAATAAAAATTAGGATTAACCAAGAGTTTATATATAAAGGTAGTTCTAACTTTTTCATCTACTTTTTTTGTCACGAATAAATATTTATCTTGATTTCTGAAGTATCAAACTTGTTTAACTATAAATCAAAAGGACGGGGGCTTATAAAGATCAAAATTTTCCCTTGATATTTCTGAACAAGAGTTACATATTCAGAATCAGCGTGAAATGAGGTATATGGCACCTTGGAAAAACCATTTTCAATTTTTCGGAAAATTTGTAGCCCCTATCCTATCTAACTTTGGAATATCGAAAAAAGTTTTTACTCAGAATTTTTCTAAACATACTTTATTCGATGCAGAATTTGATGCTGATCGTGAATATCAGGTCAGAACTGGAAAATAGTTAAGTTTTGATCGAAAAAAATCGATTTTACTGACAGATGGCGTGGTTCACTAAAAACAGGTTGTTTTTCCTTGGATTTGTTATGGAAACCTCCAAAACCACCTAGATATACTCAAAAATGTCCCAGCTTTCCGATACGGAACGGAAATCCGCTGCAAACTAGTGTTCTCAGGTCGAAACCGGATTTTGTAAGGTTTTCTGGAAAATCTTCGTTGGAAAATCCGGATTTTCCCAAAAATGACTAAACTTTGGAAAACACATTTAACCATCGTTTGATAGAGCATTGAAAACTGCATACATCTATGTCATTCTGGTAATGTTACCTCTTATCCTATTGGCGGAAAAGTCAAATGACGAGGCCGAATAACAGGTTTTTCACGAATTTTCGACCTCAAGTGGAGTTTTTGACCTGAAAACACTACACTTCACGCGGATCGTCCCGTAAGCTTTCTACTCCATCGCCACCTCGTCTACTGTCAACTCTTGATAAAATTTTCCTCTGACACTTCCTCATTGATCCTCCTCAGTGCGGAAAATCTCTGTTAACACCAGCTATTTATTGTTTCATCTTGATTCATAAGAAGAACCATCATCTTTATTATAAAAATAGATTAAAATAAACATAACATTTTTCGCTCACAAGAAAAGTTGTCCTTCGGCGGGGTTCGCATCGTGAAGTTTTTGCCTTGTCAAGCTTTTAAAAAATCTTTCTCGGGGGTCCGTCCCGTAAAGAATCGCGGGCCCTCGCGAGGATTCTCGTCCATCGCCCACTTCTGTTCCTTAGGTTATTTAACCTGCTAAACCCTATTGCTTCAGTATTACAGGAGAAAATTTTATATTCTGAATATCTAATCATTGATATATTTCGTTTCATAAAACTCATTAGTTAACGTTGAATATATTTTTCTTTTTGTTGTTATATAGGATATGCATAACACTGGAAGACAATGAAAAACTGACCCATTTTTACTCTTTTTCTACTGTTTTCTAGAATATTTGTAGTGATGGCTAAAAATTCATTTAAGAAAATTGAGCAATCAGGTATAAAAACAATTGATTCAAATTTTACGCTTTTATAACATGAAATATATAATACGTATATAGTTTTTCAGATTTCAACTCAAAGAACAAAATAAAACGACAAGGTAGTAACAGTTTTCTTTTGATTTCCTTTTCTTTTTAATTTTTTTTATTATGTAGATTATTACAATGTTTCCGATCATTTTCACGAAGATGAAGTCGATATTAATATTTCATCGAGTATGAAAACTAGTCAAGATGAATATCACATTGATTTTACACAAGAGACGACATCTGATCAACAAACGAGTGAAATATTTTTGAATGATTTAATTCTACTATCTGATAGTGAACAAGAGGTAAAAATCTAAGACATCATCTTGAGTGACAGAGTAAGATTTTTGTTATTTACTAGCCAAATGATGCTGAAGGATATGAGATTGATGATCAAAATCAAAAACAGACTAGAACATCAAAAAAAATGAAAGGAAGTGATTGGATTCGACATATTAGTAACAATAACAATAATAATAGTAATCATAAAAGTACAGAAGTAACAACAACAATGACCGGAGTAACAGTTCTTATGAGTGAAAGTGATACGTTAGTTAATAGAAAACGACGTCGAAATCGAAAAATAGATAAAACGTATAAATGTTAACGTAACTACTTGCTCGTTTGACGATACAATCTGTTGTATTTTAGTGGCATTAGTTTTGTTCAACAATTTCGTCGAATATTGTCTGAAATAAATTCTTCTACAAGAATATTGTCCAGATTATCATCAACTGTTATCGATGGTATGTTTTCTAATGTTAACAATATCATCGTCCAAAACTTTTTTTTATTGAATATTATTTTAGTTGATTCATTGTACATTCAAATTGTGCGTATTGAACATGTGTATAATCAAACATTGTTGTATGGTAAAAATTTAAATGATCAAAGTGAACTAATAGTTATGATTGATAATAAAATGATGAATGAAAAATTATTTAAAATTGATGATAAAATTAAAATTGGAAAGAAACGGTATCAACGAACGTCTACAATCCCTTTCAAAATATAATGCACTCCATTGTTCTTTCAATAACTTTTGACAAAAAATAGCTAGAGAGTTGCAGTTTTCAGTTTTAGAGAGTAGAATCTGAAGATGAAAATAAAT